TAATTTTTATTAGAAAACCATAAAAAAATTAAAGAATTTTTTTTATTTATAATAAAATATTAAAATATATGAAATATTTATAAAAGTTAAAAAAAAATATTTTTTACATTTTTTCTATTTTATAAAATTTTTGTTATTATAATATTTTTTTCTTTTTTAAAAGCAAATTAATTATAAAATAAAAATAAAAGAGATATCTAATATAAAATATAAAAAAAATTAATAAATTAATTATATTACTCTATATAATTTATAATAGTAATTAAATAGATTAAATATTTAAAATAAAAATTATTAAAAAAAATCTCTTAATATTATAATTTTAATTTTTTAACTTAAAAAATTTTTAGTTTAAAATGATATAAGCCTTTATTAATATGTACTTTGTTTTATAGTTAATAAATTTGTTTATTATTAAAGTATAAATAATAGAAAATAAGCTTGAATTATTAAATTAGTAAAATTAATAAATTTATGAACCGAATTTCTAAAGAGTTCTTTTATTAAAAACTATTTTCAAGATATCTTAATTAATATTTTTAATAAAGTAAAATAAAATAATTTTTTTTAAATTAATTAAAATATCAATGAATAAATATTTTAATAAAATGGTTTCTAGGATATAAATATAAAATTTATAAAATTTAAAAAATTCGTTTGGAAATAGCTTTTAAGTGAAGACTTTATTTAAATAGTATTAGAAAATAAATAAAAAAAACTAAAGATATAATATTAGAGTTCAAGAAAACATAATTAAAAGGCGAATTTTATAATAAAAAAATAATTATATATATAGTAAACTCAGAATAAATTTAATCTTAAAAAAATAATTTGATTAATTTAGATAAAAAACATACTAATAATATATAATTTAATTAAAAATAAGTCATAAAGATTTTTTATTTTTTTTAATTATAATTTTTATTTTATAATCTTTATAAATATTATCAAAAAAATTTAAAAATTGTATTTTAATTTTAAAAAGAATTCTAAAATTTTTTTTTTATTTAAATACATATATAGAAAATTTAATTTTTAAAAAAACCGCCTTTTTACTGTAAATTAAAATAAATTAAAGAAATTAATTAAAAAAAATATTTATATTTCATAAATTTGTTTTAAAATTTTAGAAATAATCATAAATTTATATGATTAAATATAAAAAAATTCTAATATTAAATTATAAAAATACTATATGTATTAAGAAATTCATATATAATATATAAATTTTATTTTAAAACTTCTAAAAATTATTTAATCATAAAAATATCAGAAAAAAAGGAATTTTAATTATAATTTATATGTATTTTTGATATTAATATATTTATTTTTAATAAAATAAAGGAAAATTAAATAAATAAAAATAAAATAAAAATTACAAATATTGATTTATATTTCACACTAACATTAAATATTGTAAATTTAATAAACTTTGATTTAATTCTTTTTTTGTATATTAAATTCTTTTTTGAATTAAAAATCACATAATATTATATAAGAATCAATATCAAAAAAAATTTAAAATATATATCTATATATATATAAACAAAAAATGTTAATAAAATATATGAATAATTATTAAAAATTAAATGATAATTTTATACATTTAAATCAATAACAAATCTTAAATAACTAATTTATATTATAATCAAAAAAATTAAAAATATTTAGTTTAATAGTAATGTTAGTTAGAATTAATAAAGTAAATCTGATTTTATAAAAATAAATATATTAAAGATTAATATTTAAGAAGAAAAAAATTAATAAATCTTAAAAATAAAATATATTTAATAAAAAATTAATAAGTTATATTTATATATATTATTTATTTTTATTTTATTAAAATAGTAGATTAATATAAAATATTAATAAGTATATTTGTATAGTTTAAATAAATTTAACTGTATTTCAAAAAATTTTTCAATGTTATTTTTTTTTAAAAAACCGTTTTTAAAATTTTTTGAATCTTTAATTTGTTTTATAATATATTTTATTTATTTATTTATTTAGATATTTTTATATATATTATTTTTGTATTTATTTTTAAGAATATATATTTATATTTTAATAAATTATTTATTAATAGAAAAATTACATTAATTTATTTTATATTAATAATTATATAACATTTATTTATTAATAGTATATATATATAATTAATTTATAAATATTCATAACCAGATATTTTATTATTAGATAGCTTTTGATATTTAAAATTGATATTTTTTTGATTTACTGATATTTGGATTTAGATAAGTAATAAAAGAAGTGAGAAAAATTAAAAGGTCTTTTTTTAGAGAATATTTTTTCTACTAAAAATTTAATAAGAAAAAAAGTATATGTATCTTTTATTATTGATTATAAAGATAAAGTAATTAATAGTCCTTAATAGTTATAGTTAATTTTTTTTTGATAATTTATTACCTATAAAAAAAAGCCTCTTTATAGGAACTTCAGACTATATTGCTACCTAAATTCTTAATGGATAAGGAATTTAATACCAGGTGTTAAATTAGTGTCTTTTTGGAGTAATTTTAATATGAAAAATTAATCGGAATTCCCTCCCCCCCTTTTAATGATGATTTAGTGGAAAAATATTTGATAATATAAAAAATAATCGTATCCCATAAGATTATATCTCTTTAGATGATAAAGAGATGTCAAATAAGAGAAAAAGCAGTCGATTAAATAAAAAAATTCTCGAAGTTAATTCATAGAAACACATAAATGGAAATTAAATAAAAAAACATGAATTATTTTTGGGATTTGAATGAGAAAATATAAAAAAAATGAGAACTCTAATATTATCAATTACTAAGAATATACTGTATACTCAATCTTGCTTAAAAAATACTCAATAATAATATTTTTTAGGTTAAAAGATATGATATTTTAAGAAAATATTAAATAAATAACATAGATTTTATTTTAAATGTAAATAAATTATTATATACTTTTTAGCATTTTTATTTTTTCCCTTTAATTTATTAAAAACTAAAAAAATCAAATATTAAATATTTCAATCTTCTTGAAAAAAATAAAAAAAAATATATAAAAACAATACATATATATGTAAGAACCTACATTATTTGATATATAATAAATCCATAAAAAAATGCTTCCATATATTTAAAAAACACCTATATTAACAAGTAAATCTATAAATGAATTAGCTAAATGTTGTATTTATTTTAAATGCGAAAATTTTTAAAAATGTGGTTCTTTTAAAGCACGTGGATCTATATCTGCTCTCTTAAAATTAAAAGAGGATAAGAAAAATGAATAATTTTCTGTATGTACACATTCCTCAGGAAATCATGGATCTGCTTTGTCTTTTATGTCAAAGACTTTGGGAATTACTTCTTACATAGTAATGCCAGAAAATAGTCCTGAAATTAAAAAAAAACTAGTTTAGATAAATGGAGGAAATCTTGTTTAATGCGGGCCATTAATTAAAGATAGAGAGAAAGCTTTGTAAGAAGTACATTAAGTTAAAAATGCCGAAATTGTTCATCCTTATAATGATTTTGCAGTTATTTAGGGATAAGGGACTATTTCTTTGGAGATTTTTGAATAAATTTGCAGTGAAAATTTTATTGATTTTATTATTGTGCCGGTTGGTGGCGGAGGATTACTTTCCGGGACTTGTATAGCCACAAAGGGGATTTCACCTAAAACTAAAGTAGTGGCAGCTGAACCTTTTTTGGCAAGAGATGCTTATATTTCACTACAAACTGGGAATATACACCCTTAATTACCTCCTGTGACTATTTGTGATGGTATTAGAACATCTTTAGGAGATAAAACTTTCAAAATTATAAAAAAATATTGTGATGGAATTTTTTTAGTGGATGAATAGGAGGTTGTTTTGGCTACTAATTTATTATGGGAAAGGTTAAAAATTATTGTAGAACCATCTAGTGCTACAGTTTTAGCAGCAATATTAAAATATAAAAATGTTTTTGAAGGAAAAAATGTAGTGGCAGTTATTTCGGGGGGAAATGTGGATATTTAATATAAACCACCTGGTTTATGAGCTTTTTTTGCTAATGTATTTATAAATATATATATATATTTATATTAAAATACTACTATTTTTTTTTTTTGTTATTATTTCATATTTAAATATTTAGAAATACATTTTAATTTAAAATTTTATATATGTTCATATTATTACTTGTTTTAATAATTTTTTCTGATATTTAAATTGTGTTTAAAACCTAATCAATAATAAAAATAAGACCTTTTTATTTTAATAAGTCTTTATAAAAAACTATAGTATAAATAAAATACATCAATTTAAGTAATAAATATATTTTTTAAAATATTAGTTTATATATATTAATATACATAAATGTATTTATGTTTATATTATTTGTTCGATTTGTATTGTTTTTCAATTATTTTAATAATACTATAAACAAAATAATGAAACAAAAATGTAATATAGTCTTTTTTTTTATTATTATTAAATTATTAAATAAAATTATAGTAAAAAGTAAAAAAATAAGTATAAATAATACATATATATATATATATATATATATATATATATTTATTTATCTTTCAATATTATTAAGCTTCTACAAATTTTTAAGCAAACCAATCAGGAATTAATTATTCAATATATTTATTATTCATTCTAACTTCAACTAAAAATAAATAAACAAATAAAAAAAAAAAATAAAAAAGAAAAACCATCACTATAATTAAATAAATTCTATAGTTATTTTCCGTTTATTCTACATTAAGGATTTCTTAATTCATCGTAAAAGGAGTGAAGTAAAGCTTGTAAAGGTTTTAATCTTTTCTCAGGTTCATATACAAGAATTTTAGATATAAAATCAACATCCAAAGGATCAATATTAAAATCTTTGAAATTTTAGTCCAACTTTATCGTTCTATAAAAAGTAAATTATTATAATTATGATTGGAATTCATTAAAAAAATCTGATTAAAATATATATATATTTATATATTATAACTTTTTAATTTTTATTTTTTCTGTATTTTATTTTTTATATAAAAAATCAATAACAGGGCATTAAAAAAAAAAAAATAGATTATTGCAAGGCTTTAATTATTTAATTGAGTAATTATAAATAATTAAAAGTAAAAATAGAACATTATTATATATATATATATATAAATATATATATATATTAATTATATAAATATATTAATATATAAATATTTATATATAAAAATATATTAATATATTTTATTTTATTTTACTTTTTTATTACCATATGTATAATAACATTGTTTTAATTTTATAATGTTTGTATGATTTTCTATTTCTTACATTATTTACAATTCTCTATTCTTTTATCTTTATTCTTAAAATACTTTTTTTTTTGCAACTATTTCTCCAGTTTCTTATATTATAGCCTTTATTTATTTTTATTTTATTTATATTATTTCTTACTTAACATACAGTACCTTACGTACAACTTCCTACTATTTTTTCTTCATTTATATTTAATTTCTAATTTATATTAACCTTATTAATATTAAGATTTTTTGTTTTTTTTTTGTTTTTTAATTTTTTTTTATAAGTAATAATCAATTTTTTTTTACATTTATTTATTATTTTTAATTATAAGTGTATTCATTTTCTTTCATAGAACTTACAGTTTATATTCTTATATATAAATTTTCGTTTGCTTATGTTTGTAATGCATCTTTATCATATATATAGTTCCTTTATTTATTTTGCTTTTTTTTAATTAAATATATTTATTTTTTACTTTCATTTTTTTTTTTTTTTGCTTTTGATTAATATTTTTAATGATTTTTTTTCATTCAATTTTTAATTTAATATTATTATTTCAATAATTTTGTTAAATTAATTTTAAAAATAATTTAATATGTAAATTTAGTTTAAATTTATATAAATAATAATATTTTATAAATTTATAAGAATAAAGAAAATGAAAAGTCATTATTTTAAAATATAGATTTAAATCATTTAATTCTTCATTTATTAAGTTAATAATATATTTCCTAAAGTAATTTAATTTCCGTCTCATTTGCATTTTTTTAAGAGCATAATTTTTTTAATTGATTTAAAGCTTATTTAAACTTACCTTCTTTATTTAAATTCTTTATATCAATAATATATTTTTAAACTTATTCACTTTAATTATTTTTTTCTATTTCTTCACAAAAATTATTCACAATAACGTATTAATACTATAAACTTTATTCCATTGAGTATTATTAATACATCATTTAAACCATAAATTATTAATATAAGGCAGTCATTTATTTATTTTTTATATTATTTTATTATAAATTTTTTCTTTAAGTATTAAGTTTATTTAAAAGATTTTCTGGTAACTAAATTAATGTATAATTATTAAATAAAAAAATATAAATAAATGTTATATTTATTATAAATAAAAAACAAGTAATTTTTCATCATCACCATGGGCAAAATTACAATTTTAATTATATTTACATGTAGCAACTATAAATAATATAAAATATAAATATTATATGTTTTAATTAAAAAAAATTATAATAAATACATTAATTGAAGTATTTGCATATATTAGTTTTATCTAAAATGTTTATAAATTAAAAAAAAAAAATAATAAAAAAGTATAAAAAATTAATAATTATATATATTTATATATGTAAATTAATTAAAATATATAATATATATATATATATATATATAAATAAATATATGTATGTTATATATGTTTTAAATATTTATAAATATATTTACTCATATTTATATATAAGTTTATATATTTTTTTAATTACATTATTAATTTTATATATTTTAAATATATTTATATTTTATTTTATTTATAATTTTTTAAATTAAAATGATTAAAATATAAAAATAAATAATAGAATTTATTTTTACAATTTAATGGAATTGATGAAGGCCATTTCTAAATATTTTTATTGTTGTTTTATTTACTTACTTTTTCAAAATAAGCTTGATTCTTTTATTTATATTAAGAAAATAAAATAAATTGTAATTTTCTTACTTCAATAACATTTCTCAATTCATTTTCACCCTATTAAATATTATTTTAATTAAAATATTTAATAAAATACATGTGCAAAATGGCATTCTTTATCCCTTAAGCAATTGTTTTCTTTTTTTTTGTTTTTTTAAAAAAAAAAAAAAAAATAACTAAAATTTAAAAAAAAGTAGAATATATATATATAAATACATTAGAAATTTTTGCAAAGAGTTGTTTTATATTTTGGGTTTGGGACATTAGTTTCAGATTTTTCAGAAGCAGTGGATTCGTTTTCTGAAAAATTATTTTTTTTATCACTATTAACTTTTGTATTGTCAAAACTTAAATTGTTATTATTATCATTAATCATTTTTATGTAAAAAAGTAAATAAATTAAAATTATTAATTTTTTTTTTTTTTATTAATAACTTTTTTATACTTTAAATATTTTTGACTAATATAAAAAGAAAAATAAATAACTATTTAAATAATTAAATATATATATAAAAAAAAAAAAAAACCAAATATATATATATGATATATATACATTAAAATACTTTTGTAAAAAAAAAAAAAAAATCACTTATTTTATAAACAAACAATAACATTGTTTCTACAAAAAGGACATTAAGCATTATTAGAAAGCCAAACTTAAATACAATCTAAATGAAAATAATGATTACATTAAGGCAAAACTACCACTATACATTCATTTTCGTATTCTACTAAACAAATAGAGCAACAATCCTCTTTTAAAATATTTTAAATAGTTTATTTATATTCTAAATATTTAAATTTGCTTAATTTTTCTATTTCTTTATTATTTAAACCTCTTTCTATTATATATTCCTGTTAACCTTAAATATCATTGAAAATAATAAGCATAGTATAAATGAATAAAAAAATAAGTATTAATAAAAATGTACAAATATTTAAAAATAGAAAATCACTAAATAAGTAAAATGAAAATATTTCATATATATTCTGTTATTAATATATTAATATTTAATTTTTGCATTCGAATTTATTAACTAAAAATATTAGTGTAAATAAAAATGTTATTTCATATTCATATGTAGGTGTTCCTTTAAAGAATCTTATTAATGAAAAACAGTTTTCTAATCGTAAAAAAAGCAAAATACAATTACAAAAAATTAAACGGTTCATTTAGAGTGTTTATTAGTCCCATTTTATATAAGAATATAATGAATATATGAATGGTATTAAGTAATAGTAAGAATATTTTAGTAATTTATTTAATAATAAAAGTAAATTATTTATAAGCATATTATATTTTTATTTAAAGGCAATTAGGCTTTATTATTATTTTTTTATTTTTTGGTTTAAATAAAACAATAAAATTTATAATAAAATTAAATATTTTTTTTATTTTATTTATAAGCTTAAATAAAATTAATGATTAATAATGGTAAATAAAAATATATATTAAGATAATAAAATAATTTATATTAAAATAAAAAAAAAAATATATATATATGTTTTTTTTTTTGTTATAAAAAAAAAAAATTATCAAACTTATTTATTTATTTATAAAAAATATTAGATATTTGATTTTATAAATATATATTTCTTTATATAGGTTATTTTATTTTAAAAAATATAGGATTATTATAGTTAATAAATCTAACGAATATAATTTTGATTTTATTCTTTTTATTATTTTTATATAAAAAATATTAGTCCCTATTTATGGAATCATAGTTCAAATTTAATATTTACTTTTTATTTTATTAAATTATTATTATATGTAAATATTATAATATTATTATTTATATTATAGATTTTATATTATAATATTTTATATTTTTATTAAGTAGTTTTCATATTCTATTAAAAAAAGATCTTAAAATTAATATTTTATTTAAATATAGATAATTATCTAAATAAATTTAAGTTAAATAAATAAAAAACCAGATTATAAATATGTATTCTAACTATAATAATAAAAATTAGATTTAACATAAATAAATATTTAAATTATTCTACTTTTTATGAAAATTACATAATAATAAAAATATAAATTCTTTGATTTGTTTTTTAATCATTTTGAACTAAATACATCTATATAAAATGCTTATAAATTATTAATTTGAAAATACAACAAATTTAAATAACTAGAACTTTTATCTTAATGATTGATTTTCCTAATATATATTTATAACATTACAATTAATTTATATTATATGTATATACAAATCCGAAAATATTAGTCTTAAATTTAATCAAGTAAGAATTAATAATACTTCAAAAAATATATATATATATATATATATATATATATATATTATTTAAAAATTATATATATATATATAAATTATTAAATAATAATTTTTATGTATATTACTATTAAAATTAAATATTTTTTTAATAAAATATTTAAATAATGATTATATTTTAAAGATTTTGATTAGAAGTTAAGAAAGAAAGAAATAAAGAAAGAAAGAAAACAATTTAATGAAAATTAATATAAGTTAGTATAATTAAAAATATCAATAACAATTAATAATATGTAATTGAAAATAAATTACTAGTATAAAATTGATATATAACGCTTTTTTTTATTATTACTATTGAAAATAATTTTAACTAAGATATATAAATAAGAAAATATTATCTATATTTTAATATAAAATAACAGAAATATTATATATATAAAAAAAAAAAAAAAAAATTAAATTTTTACGAATATTCATTCATTTTCATATTTTATATTTTCATTTATATCATAAAAAACTCCTTTCCCAAATTATTTTCCTTATTTAAATTATCCATTATATTATTTTTTTCCATTTTCATGGAATAAAGTCCCGTTTCCATTTTATTAGTGTTATTCGTAATCACCTTAATAGCTTTTTAATCCATTTTCAAAATATTTAATTCCTTTTCCATTCCACATTCCATCTTTGAATTCTCCTTCGTAAAAAAGGTTTCCATTTTGAAAATATTAAACACCTTCTCCATCCCATTTTCCTTCTTTAAAATTACCTTCATAGAACTTGTTTCTGTTTAAATAATATTAAACTCCATTTCCATTTGCTTTTCCATATTTATATTTTCCTTCATATTTTTTATTTCCATTTTAATAATAAAAAATCCCGAATCCATCGAAAAATCCTAATTTGAATTCTCCTTCATATTTTTTATTTCCTATAAAAAAAATAAAAAAAAGCACATTTTTTTTAAAAAAAAATAAATAAAATAATACATTACTTTTTTTAATATAGTTTTTTTTAAAAAAAAAAATAAAAAATAAAAACTCTATTATAACAAAAAAAAAAAAAGGACTTTAAATTAAAAAATGATTAATTAATATATAGCCTTTTAATTTTTATCGAATTGAAGTTTATTTTATTTAAACAAAAAAACAAAAAAAGTAACTATATGAATATAAATTTACCTTTTAAATTGTTTTTTTTAAATTCTTGGTTTATATTCTTTTCTTTTTCATAATAAATAGTACCAAATCCATTATAAACCCCATTCTTAAATTAACCTTAATAAATAATGTTTTCATTTCTATCATATTGTATTCCTTTTCCTTCTTTAATCCCTTTTTGAAAATCTCCTTCGTATTTTTTTTGTCCGTTTTAAAAATAAATAATACCATAACCTTAAAATTTATTGTTTTTGAAATTTCCTACATATATTTTTTTCCCATCTTAATTATAATAGATTCCTAAACCATCCTATTTATCTTCTTTGAAATTACCTTCGTACATTTTATTTCCATTATCATAATAAATAATTCCTTTTCCATTTTTTCTGTCTTTTTTAAACTAACCTTTGAAACAAATAACACCTTCTTTATCATAATAAGTTCCTAAACCATGTAATCTTCCTTTCTTTAAATTTCCTTCAAACTTTTAAATTCCGTTTTCGTAATAAAAAATTCCCTTTCCATCTATAATGTCTTCTTTGTAAAATCCTTCGAATAACTTTTATCCGTCTTTCGAGTATTTTATTCCTTTTCCATGTTTTAATCCTTATTTATAAGTACCTTTATAATATGCGGTGCCACTTTTATAATAGGAAATTCCAAACCCGTGTTTTTTACTTTTGAATACTTCTCCTTCATATATAAGATTATTTTATTAATAACAATTATAAACCATTTTGTATTTCAGTAACCATTCCCTTTATGATTCTACAGAACAGAAAAAAAGAGGAATCCCTATCATATTATAAACTTTATATTCTAAACCCCAAAACTAAGGATTTTACTTTTAATTTTTTTCATAAAAATCAATAAATTAATTTTCTTTTTATAAAACAAAACTATTGTAAAGATTCTATGTAAAAACTCCTCCTTTTTGATTATTTTCTTTCTAAGTTTAAGATTCTTTACAACTCGTAATTATGGCAATTGAAAAGTTATATCTATTGTCTATTTGGCCTATCCAAATTCCGGAATAATCACAGTCTAGTATAATTAGGCATAGTTATTGTTATGATGTCCTTTTTTCCCATAAGTGATATATGTCATTAAAATATATAAATTCTTATTCGTCTTATTTATTCTAAGTTTCTATTCTAAGTCCTCCTTTTTTATTTGATTCTCCTGTTAAATACAAAATTATACAATCAAAATTTTCACTGTTAAAAGTTTATTAGATTTCTTATAAGAACCAGTTTTTTATTTAAGTATTTTCATTTAAATGCTCATCATAATCTATAACCTTATAATTTAGTTCATTTTAATTAAAAAGTCTGTCCATTTTGTTTATATTCTATCTATATTTTTCGAGTTATTATTAGTTGAAATTATTTCTATTTATTAAGTCAATACATATAGATTGTACTCTATATTATGTTTTGGCTATTGGGAAAATTTAGTTTCTTTTCATTTCTTTTCTTTTTTTTTTTTTTTTTTTTTTTTTTTTATTAAGTATTTTTTTTTGATTTCTGGTATTTATTATATTTATAATATTATAATGATATCTAATAATTTACATTTTAATTTATTTTAAATTGAATTTATGTTAATTTTACATATTTTAAAAAAATTATACAAATAATAATTTTTTACAGAAATATTTTTATTTTTTTTAATAAATATAATTGGTAGATTATATTTGTTATTTTTATACATAAACCAATTACATGTTTAATATAAAAAATAATAAATAAATGATTAACTTATATATATATATATATATATAATTATATTAGTTTATCTATTTTAATTTTTAAATAAAAAAAAACT